GTGAGTACCGGCACCGTTACTGTGCATAGTTGTAGCCCTACAGTCATAGACACTGTGATGTGAGTACCGGCACCTTGTCTGTGCATAGTTGTAGCTCTACAGTCATAAACACTTTGATGTGACTACCGGCACCTTGTCTGTGCATAGCTGTAGCCCTGCAGTCATAGACACTTTGATGTGAGTACTGGCACCTTGTCTGTGCATAGTTGTAGCTCTACAGTTATAGACACTTTGATGTGAGTACTGGCACCTTGTCTGTGCATAGTTGTAGCTCTACAGTTATAGACACTTTGATGTGAGTACCGGCACCTTGTCTGTGCATAGTTGTAGCTCTACAGTCATAGACACATTGATGTGAGTACCGGCACCTTGTCTGTGCATAGTTATAGCCCTACAGTCATAGACACTTTGATGTTAGTAGCGGCACCTTTACTGTGCATAGTTGTAGCTTTACAGTCATAGACACTTTGATGTGAGTAGCGGCACCTTGTCTGTGCATACTTGTAGCCCTACAGTCATAGACACTTTGATGTGAGTACCAGCACCGTTACTGTGCATAGCTGTAGCCCTACAGTCATAGACACTTTGATGTGAGTACCAGCACCGTTACTGTGCATAGTTGTAGCCCTACAGTCAAAGACACTTTGATGTGAGTACCGGCACCGTTACTGTGCATAGTTGTAGCCCTACAGTCATAGACACTTTGATGTCAGTACCGGCACCGTTACTGTGCATAGTTGTAGCCCTACAGTCATAGACACTTTGACGTGAGTACCGACACCGTTACTGTGCATAGTTGTAGCCCTACAGTCATAGACACTTTGATGTGAGTACCGGCACCGTTACTGTGCATAGCTGTAGCCCTACAGTCAAAGACACTTTGATGTGAGTACCGGCACCTTGTCTGTGCATAGTTGTAGCCCTACAGTCATAGACACTTTGATGTGAGTACCGGCACCGTTACTGTGCATAGCTGTAGCCGTACAGTCATAGACACTTTGATGTCAGTACCGGCACCGTTACTGTGCATAGTTGTAGCCCTACAGTCATAGACACTTTGATGTCAGTACCGGCACCGTTACTGTGCATAGTTGTAGCCCTACAGTCATAGACACTTTGACGTGAGTACCGACACCGTTACTGTGCATAGTTGTAGCCCTACAGTCATAGACACTTTGATGTGAGTACTGGCACCGTTACTGTGCATAGTTGTAGCCCTACAGTCATAGACACTTTGATGTGAGTACCGGCACCGTTACTGTGCATAGTTGTAGCCCTACAGTCATAGACACTTTGATGTGAGTACCGGCACCGTTACTGTGCATAGTTGTAGCCCTACAGTCATAGACACTTTGATGTGAGTACCGGCACCTTGTCTGTGCATAGTTGTAGCCCAACAGTCATAGACACTTTGATGTGAGTACCGGCACCGTTACTGTGCATAGTTGTAGCCCTACAGTCATAGACACTTTGACGTGAGTACCGACACCGTTACTGTGCATAGTTGTAGCCCTACAGTCATAGACACTTTGATGTGAGTACCGGCACCGTTACTGTGCATAGCTGTAGCCCTACAGTCATAGACACTTTGATGTGAGTACCGGCACCTTGTCTGTGCATAGTTGTAGCCCTACAGTCATAGACACTTTGATGTGAGTACCGGCACCGTTACTGTGCATAGCTGTAGCCGTACAGTCATAGACACTTTGATGTCAGTACCGGCACCGTTACTGTGCATAGTTGTAGCCCTACAGTCATAGACACTTTGATGTCAGTACCGGCACCGTTACTGTGCATAGTTGTAGCCCTACAGTCATAGACACTTTGACGTGAGTACCGACACCGTTACTGTGCATAGTTGTAGCCCTACAGTCATAGACACTTTGATGTGAGTACTGGCACCGTTACTGTGCATAGTTGTAGCCCTACAGTCATAGACACTTTGATGTGAGTACCGGCACCGTTACTGTGCATAGTTGTAGCCCTACAGTCATAGACACTTTGATGTGAGTACCGGCACCGTTACTGTGCATAGTTGTAGCCCTACAGTCATAGACACTTTGATGTGAGTACCGGCACCTTGTCTGTGCATAGTTGTAGCCCAACAGTCATAGACACTTTGATGTGAGTACCGGCACCTTGTCTGTGCATAGTTGTAGCCCTACAGTCATAGACACTTTGATGTGAGTACCGGCACCTTGTCTGTGCATAGTTGTAGCCCTACAGTCATAGACACTTTGATGTGAGTACCGGCACCTGGTCTGTTTAGGTCAACGCATCAAACATCGACTGGAGACATGCACACACCCAGAAAAAGTTCACAATTAATACCTACTCACATTGAATCCAACCTCACCTGGACGACAGGTGTGCACACATTCTCGATCAACTGTGGGAGCCTTTCTTCTGTGAACGGCATGACCGTTGCGTGCTGTAAAATTGAATACTTCTACTGTGTCCAACTGCCTTTGTCTTCCTGTCTATCATTATATCTGTCCGCCTGTTATTGTGTCTGCCTGTTTGTATGTCTGTGGCTGTCTGAGTTTGTCTGTCTACCTATCTGTCTACAAACTAATAGGCCATTAGGTCTCAGAGTACAGGAGACAGACAACCAATCTGCTGTATGAGGGATCTGACACACCAGGCAGGTGATGTGTTGTTTGATCCAGACAGGTGATGTGTTGTTTCATCCAGGCATGTGATGTGTTGTTTCATCCTGGCCTGTGATGTGTTGTTTTATCCAGTCAGGCGATGTGTTGTTTCATCCAGGCAGGTGATGTGTTGTTTCATCCAGGCCGGTGATGTCTTGATTCATCCTGGCCGGTGATGTGTTGTTTCATCCAGGCAGGTGATGTGTTGTTTCATCCAGGCAGGTGATGTCTTGTTTCATCCAGGCAGGTGATGTGTTGTTTCATCCAGGCAGGTGATGTGTTGTTTCATTCGTGCCGGTGATGTGTTGTTTCATTCATGCCGGTGATGTGTTGTTTCATCCTGGCCGGTGATGTGTTGTTTCATCCTGGCCGGTGATGTGTTGTTTCATCCTGGCCGGTGATGTGTTGTTTCATCCTGGCCGGTGATGTGTTGTTTCATCCTGGCCGGTGATGTGTTATTTCATTCTGGCCGGTGATGTGTTGTTTCATCCTGGCCAATGATGTGTTATTTCATCCTGGCCGGTGATGTGTTGTTTCATCCAGGCTCGTGATGTGTTGTTTCATTCAGCCCGCAAATAAAGGATGCTGTCCACATATAAACCGCTGTCCAGGGCAGTGCTTGCCTTGTCGCTGCTACGCCATACTGGAAGGACAGAAACAGACAGCACCGACTGTCCATATCATTTTATGGAAGATACTGTCTTTTAGTTAGATACAAGGGAAGTCAATAAGAAAGTCACAGATTGTTATGGGGTGGCAGAAATATGTAGTTGCTGGTTTCCTAAGGTGTCAGTGTCACAGCAACATCTAACTTTATGTCTGTGTTCGTTAGGTGGCGCTAGGTGTTGCATGCGCATTTGCTACACATAAACAAAATGGCGACTTTACTCACGGAGTGTACCCTCATATTGTTCAGAATGCAGTGTACTGCACGATCGATTAAAATTTAAGAAAGTGTGTTCAAGATGGGTACCCATATAACTGACGGACTAACTGCAAATCTAGGAGAAGACATGCTGAACAAGATTATTACTGATGACGAATCATGTATGTATTACTACCAGTCCGAATCAATGCGTGCTTCAGTTCAATAAACATCCGTCTTCGCCTTTGTTAAAAAAATCAAGGTTACGCTATTAGAAGGAAAGATTATGCTGACTGTGTTCTGGGATTGTCAAGGGATGTTTTTAACCAATTAAAAAAAAATGATAGGTGACATTTGAATGCTGATTCATACTGTAAAGTTTTATCGATGCTTCATGATTCAGTTTGAAGAAAACGTCCAGGCTTGCTGCCGATAAGAGTGCTACTCTTTCATGACAATACCAGACCAATATACGGCTCGTCACTGAAAACCCACCTTGGTCAGAGACATTTCGCGAACGTGACTTGAAAAGTGGTTTAGAAAACAGAGCACGCAGTTCTGTGCAGCAGGGTTGGGGGACTAATAAAACGATCGACATATGCATCAATGTTGTTGGAAATTATGCTGAAAACTAAAGGGACATTGTATGTTTAAAAATAAACGGTTTTCATATTGTTATCGTTTTTATAATTTTTTTTTTGAAACAACCCTTCGGGACGTAATTTAGGACTTCCCTCGTACTTAAATAACTTCAACCTCCGATACTTTATCCATCTGTTGTGTGTTATAAATGGACCTAAAGTACAATGTGTTCCATATCCGACGATGGCATTTTTTGTGTTTGTGTTGTCAGTGCAAGTATGATGTGCATGAATCGTGTTTGTCGTTTTTTTTCTCTCTCTCTCGCTCCGTACATTACCTCTATCCCTTTCCTCCTCTCAACCTTTGTATCTCTCGCTCCGTACATTACCTCTATCCCTTTCCTCCTCTCAAGCTTTGTATCTCTCTTTGTATCTCTTCTGTATCTCGTTCCCTGTCTATATACTACATCCTCCCTGTCTTATTTTCTGTCTGCTTTTCTCTCTCCCTCTCTCCCTGCCTCACTCCCCTTTTCTACCGATATTTCAAGCGCTCTCCTACATCCCCCTCTTCCTCTGCCTCTCCCCCTTAAAGTCTGTGCTATATTGTAAATTCTGGTTTAGTAAAAAACACTTTAGCAGAGGAACCTAACACTACTAGAATGTTACCTTAGCGATAATATCCCCTGTCATGAGTTGTTTGCTGGTGCGCCTAATACTGGTCTTTTGTCTCCGGGACAGCCCTGTCTCTTGACTGTTGTTGGCAGACAGTGGCTGCCGCCACAAACGTCGTTGCTGCCTGATACTTGTTCTGTCGGTGTTCTTAAACATTATTGCATTGTTATTAACTTTGCGCATGCCCACGTCTGTAACTATTGTTGGGATGTTTATGCCAATAACTGAAGTCTAATGGGAAAAGTATGCCCGGTTGGAAATCTGCGTCAGGGGGAAGAGGGAAATCTGCGTCCCGACTTTCGACATTCTGTCTGTATACTTGTTCTTCCCGACTTTCGACATTCTGTCTGTATACTTGTTCTTCTCTACATTCGACATTCTGTCTGTATACTTGTTCTTCCCGACTTTCGACATTCTGTCTGTATACTTGTTCTTCCCGACTTTCGACATTCTGTCTGTATACTTATTCTTCCCGACTTTCGACATTCTGTCTGTATACTTGTTCTTCCCGACTTTCGACATTCTGTCTGTATACTTGTTCTTCCCGACTTTCGACATTCTGTCTGTATACTTGTTCTTCCCGACTTTCGACATTCTGTCTGTATACTTGTTCTTCCCGACTTTCGACATTCTGTCTGTATACTTGTTCTTCCCTACATTCGACATTCTGTCTGTATACTTGTTCTTCCCGACTTTCGACATTCTGTCTGTATACTTGTTCTTCCCGACTTTCGACATTCTGTCTGTATACTTGTTCTTCCCGAATTTCGACATTCTGTCTGTATACTTGTTCTTCCCGAATTTCGACATTCTGTCTGTATACTTGTTCTTCCCGACTTTCGACATTCTGTCTGTTTACTTGTTCTTCCCGACTTTCGACATTCTGTCTGTATACTTGTTCTTCCCGACTTTCGACATTCTGTCTGTATACTTGTTCTTCCCGACTTTCGACATTCTGTCTGTATACTTGTTCTTCCCGACTTTCGACATTCTGTCTGTATACTTGTTCTTCCCGACTTTCGACATTCTGTCTGTATACTTGTTCTTCCCTACATTTGACATTCTGTCTGTATACTTGTTCTTCCCGACTTTCGACATTCTGTCTGTATACTTGTTCTTCCCGACTTTCGACATTCTGTCTGTATACTTGTTCTTCCCGACTTTCGACATTCTGTCTGTATTCTTGTTCTTCCCGTCTTTCGACATTCTGTCTGTATACTTGTTCTTCCCGACTTTCGACATTCTGTCTGTATACTTGTTCTTCCCTACATTCGACATTCTGTCTGTATACTTGTTCTTCCCGACTTTCGACATTCTGTCTGTATACTTGTTCTTCCCGACTTTCGACATTCTGTCTGTATACTTGTTCTTCCCGAATTTCGACATTCTGTCTGTATACTTGTTCTTCCCGAATTTCGACATTCTGTCTGTATACTTGTTCTTCCCGACTTTCGACATTCTGTCTGTTTACTTGTTCTTCCCGACTTTCGACATTCTGTCTGTATACTTGTTCTTCCCGACTTTCGACATTCTGTCTGTATACTTGTTCTTCCCTACTTTCGACATTCTGTCTGTATACTTGTTCTTTCCGACTTTCGACATTCTGTCTTTATACTTGTTCTTTCCGACTTTCGACATTCTGTCTTTATACTTGTTCTTCCCGAATTTCGACATTCTGTCTTTATACTTGTTCTTCCCTACTTTCGACATTCTGTCTGTATACTTGTTCTTCCCGACTTTCGACATTCTGTCTTTATTCTTGTTCTTCCCGACTTTCGACATTCTGTCTGTATTCTTGTTCTTCCCGTCTTTCGACATTCTGTCTGTATACTTGTTCTTCCCGAATTTTGACATTCTGTCTTTATACTTTTTTTTTCGGCTTTTACGACAAATTAAAAAGAAAGAATAAATAAACCGCCCGCCGAGTAAGTGAAACTTGTGTACTCAAGGATCATGACATTGTATTAAAGCATTCATCAGTTTAACACAATCAGCCCGGGCAGCTGAAGAAATGGAACTGTACCATCTAGGTATAATGGTGCTGAGTGAAGTGAGATGGCCTGGAACAGATCAGCGTCTGGTCAGTGGTTGACCATCTATGTTTTCAGGTAGAGATGGTGGGAAACACGTGGAGGGGTAGGTTTAATCATGTCATCGCGACTTGCAATTCTTTCCCACTTCAACATTAAACTTTGCAAGTCGCACGATCAGAGCCCGATTTAATACCAGAGGTCCCAGAGTTGGTCCCGGGACCCCATTGTGAGGAAAACCAGAATAGACCCACTGCGTACCCGGCAATCATGGCATAAGAACTTGGGGCTTCTTCGGAGTCAAGAGTGCATGTGCCTCAGAGGCAAGAGCCAGGAGTTTTCTTCTTCTTCTTCTTATTCACTTCCTCTTTTTTACCGCTGTGGGTGTCGAGGGAGATATAAGGTTCTGTTTCTAGCTCTTCTGGCTGCCTCGACCATAGGCACATCGTGTTGTTGTAGAGTTTCTCTGATGTTATCCTTCCATCTTGTTATTGGTCTACCCTGTGCTCTACGTCCTTCTTCTCTTTCCATGTATGTTTTGTATGGTATGGTGTCACAAGGCATTCTCTCTAAGTGGGCAAACCATTTCACTTGCTGTCTTTGTATGTAATCCAGAATTGGTTCTGTGCCGACTTGTTCTCTTATGATCCCATTCCTGATCTGATCTCTTATGGTCACTCCTACAGCCCTTCTCAGACATCTCATTTCCGTGGTTACTAATTTTCTTTTATGGTTTGTTGTGAGTGACCATGTCTGGCACTGGTAGCACAGAGTTGGAATAAATATGCTTTGAATTAGATGTCTCTTTGTGCTGATTGTGATTGTCTTATGCTGTAAGAGGGGGGCTAGCTGTCTCAATACTTGCCAGGAGTCTGCATACAAATAAGTCAGAAATGTAAAACGGATATGCAAGCAACACTCAGGTTCTGGAACAAGACTAAAAAAAATTCCAGAGGTGGACGAACAAACTGAACTTTCCACTAGAGTTTACAGCCGCTGAAGACAAAGAAGAAGAATACCAGACGTGTCAACATGTCAATACTGAAGTTCTATACGCCAACAAGACAACAAAGTCCTGTTTTATAAACAACTGCATGATAAAACTGACCAGATTTCAAAACATGATCTGTTGAATGTAATGTTTAGTAATGAGAGCTTTAATGCTAAAGTGGGCGAAGACAACCTGGGTGTAGAGAGATCTATGGGAAAGAATGGTGTCAATACAATGAATGAAAATGGAGACACATTAGCAGATATGCTTGCAGTCAAACCTACAAATTGGAGATACCATGTTTGCACACAAGTACGTCGATTAATTTTCAATTTACCAGATGGGTTGACCAAGACTCAAACTGACCCCCTCTGTATCAACAGAATTGTCAGAACCTCTTGAATGAATGTCGGTGCACTAAGGGGAGACAATGTTGGACGTGACCACAACCTTTGTAAAGGACAATTGAAATAGAAACCTAAAGCTGCTTTCAAAACCTAGACAAAGCAGAGCATAGATAGTGAAGGAGTTTGTGACGAAAAAGAGTGTCAGTTTTAACTGAAAAACGGATAAAGCTACTTGGAGAGGAGAGGGCGTAGGGCTTTAAAGACAAATAAGACAAAATAAAGACCACTATCATAGAGCTGGCTGTTGGTAGTGTGGGGTCAAAGAAGTGCCGTAGAAAATCACGGATAAGTGCTGACACCTGGCAGTGCGTTCAGAATAGAAATAGAACGGACTACAGCAGACATGCTCAAAGGAGCAGAGGGCAACTATCTAACAAGTGCTAAAACTATTTAACAAAATATGGACAGAAGAAAACGTTCCAGAAAAATGGAAGAAAGAAGAAATAATTGAAAAAGAATCCCCCAAAAAGGTAATCTTCACAACTGCAATAATTGAAAAGTAATTACCGTATTGGCGCTGGATTGGACGCATACTGAGAAAACAGGAGAACAGCATAACCAGAATGTCTTTGCATTGGAACCCACAGGGGCATAGGAATAAAGGAAGGCCAAAGAAGACACGGAGAAGAGAGCTGGAGAATGCAGTTAGAAAGATGGGGAGGACATGGGGAGATCTCCATGCAATGGCGAAGGATATAACGACTTGGCGTGAGTTGGTTGAGGGCCTATGCTCCATTGGGGAATAGAAAGGTAGAAGAAGAAGAATTACCTTATTATCTGTTATATCAAAAACCATTTGCAATGTAATCCTCAACAGAATTAAAGAGGCAGTTGATGCAATAATCAGACAAGAACAAGCTGGCTTTAGAACTGGAACAAGTTGTCTGGATCCACAATTTGAGATTCTAGAAGAACACACTGAGAAGGAACGGCCTCTCATCCTAAACTGTATTGACTTCAAGAAGGCTTTTGACAGCATACCTAGAATGTTAAAGTAGGGAATTACGGTAATATAATACGCATTATTTTATCTTTAAATGATTGTTCAGAATGTGCAGTGCACACAGACAATTGTTTCAGTGACTGGTTTTTATTTTTTATTTTGGAGATATTTGAAGTAAAACAATGTAGCATTCTATCTCCATTATTGTTTGGAGTAGTTATTGTTTGTGTAATGAAAAATGGTTGCAAAGGCAGTAGTGACTGACATTGATTGGGTTGAGAATAGACAACTGGAAGATCTAGATTTCGCAGATGATATTGTTTCTGTTAGGGAAAAAATAACAACGACATGCACAGAAATACACACGATTGTTCGTCTACAGCAACATCAGCAGGACTACAACAACAATTGATGAGAAAACAAACATATCAAAGATGCCAGCCTCAGTGACCAGGCGGAGTGCAAGATATTTGTATGTAGTACAGTGACCAGGCGGAGTACAAGATATTTGTATTGCTGGCCTATGGTCATCAGTTTGTGTCGCCAGCTGGTGTACGTGGGTTTGTGTCGCTAGCTGATTGATGTACGTGGATTTGTGTCGCTAGCTGATGTACGTGGATTTGTGTCGCTAGCTGATGTACGTGGGTTTGTGTCGCTAGCTGATTGATGTACGTGGATTTGTGTCGCTAGCTGATGTACGTGAGTTTGTGTCGCTAGCTGATGTACGTGGGTTTGTGTCGCTGGCTGATGGTCGAGGGTTTGTGTCGCTGGCTGATGTCGAGGGTTCGTTTCACAGACGCGTCGTTCAAATTAATGAGTGCACATGTTATTACTGGGGGTTGTCGCTTGAGCTATGAGGTTGTATTTTATACTACGCTCTCTACAAAAGGCTTCCCGTTTTTTGTAGAGAAAAAAAAAAAGGCATATGGAATAAAAACCTAGTGCAATAAAGTCGATCCCGTCGAATTTAACTTTATAACTGTTATTGTACAGATGTCTCCAACTTGCTGTCACACTCCCTTTGTTGTGTTCAGTCTTTGCCTCGTCTTTTTTATACATCGGTTAGGTGTCATCTTCGCAGTGAGGTTCCAGAATAACTAGATCCACTAAGCCGTATTATGCTCTACGTGTTTTGTGTGTGTGTGTGTGTGTGTGTGTGTGTGTGTTTCTATTTAACCTGATCCCGAGAAAAGACTATACATTGTCAACCCTCTTGACCTCACTGACCGCCCCTACCGCCCAGCCACGGGGTTTTGTTGACCACAATAAGTGACCTCTGCCTTTAGTATCTTCTGAACCAACTCCCCCCCCACCCCCCCCCCCACCCCCCCCCCACCCCACCCCACCCCACACTTCAGATATCAATCCTCGTACTCTTCTGTTGCCAGTTTTCTCACATTTTACACACACACGCACACACGCACACACGCACACACACACACACACACATATATAGTTATATATAGTAAGACCCGCTCGC